AAGAACATGGAATAGGTAAGATGCCTAGTTTAAGATTCCAGTAGCTTGGAATTGTTTGAATAACAGTCTTTCTACAATGCACTTTTTGATTCAGACAATCTTGGCAACGAGGAGAATGGCATTCTGAAATAGAGTAAAAAGCTGTCACAACAACAAAAAAGATAAGCTTGCAAACCATTGTACTATATTTATTGTGTATATGTATGTTTTTTTTAGTTTATTTACAACCTTTTATCCACAAGAGGTTGCCAAGCAGATAAGCACATGTACACATATTTCAGAGTGACTTAGCAGAAAGGGCAATGGATGAATTTCTCAATGTTTTCTCTCTTGTAATGACTTTCATTCTACAAAACAATGAATCTCCAAGGTAGTCCAGCAGAAGAAAATCTCTATATTAGATAGATTATTTTTCACATTAAGTTGATAAGTCTATTTCCAGGTATACTGCAGTAAGCAGGTTTTTTTTTTTTTTTTTTTTTTTGACTACTAAAGAAAAAACTCTGCTGTAAGCAATAGGATATAAATAATTAAAAATATAAAAGACAAAAAAAAAGAACAAATTAGGAAAATAATTATTGGACATCTTAATTATAATTTTAGACATATTTTTTTTTTCAAACTAGCCTATAGTTTAAAAAAAAAAAAAAGATGAGCACATTTGTTTAGGAACAAGTGAATATTAACACACTTTTATTAATAAACATGTTTTCACATGCCTACAGTATGCATAAAGGATATCAATTTCTACAAGTCACCTTCTCGTCCACAGATCTATAAATGAATTGCTACTTTTAAAATCTGCTCACTTTTACCAGCAGTGTCAACTTCTCAGCTTTTATTTGGTTAGTGCTTAAGAGATTTTGATTTCACTTGCATAATTCCTTTTCAACCCAATAAGATATAACATCAAGAGAACCTGAACCACAGTTATATCTGAATGTGATATATTTATTCTTCTTTTTTTAAAAAGAAATTCTTGTGAGAAATGTATCAAATTGAGGCTGCAGTTCTCTTTATGCCTTCTCTTCTCAAATTGGAATGGTTGATTTAATATAAATTTATAAATTTAAGTTCTGTTGTTTTAAAAAAAACAAGACCAGAACCAGCCAAATGATGATCCTTTGACAGTGCAGGAGAAAGTGTGGATGTTTTAAAAATGGCAAATCATTTATAGATCAGTGGATAGTATGAGTTGTAGAAATAGGTCCTTTGAAACTATGTAGGAAGACTTATACATAACTTAGCCTTGTACAAACATCTTCCATTAATAAAAGTATTCACTTATTTAATTTAGACTGAGGTGAACCATTTCATTCTTTTTGTATTCCTTTAATAAGGAGTAAGTTCTGCTCAAATAGCTTCTTCCCAGGAACTGTTGCTTTGTGAGACGGAATTCCAAGAGGATCTGTTCCTAACCACTACAATTTTAATCCTCTTTAAATCTAAGGTTAAACATTATCTTTCATATATATCCTCATAAATGGCACTCATTATTCTTATTGCTCAAACAATTTCTCTCTCTCTCTTGAGTGGCCCTTAGGCCTTGTATAGGGTGAATATTAGTAAAAGAAAAAACATTTTAATACAGTAGTTCATTCTTATGAACAAGAAGATTGAAAATAAGAAAAAAGTGGGGTAATTAAAAACAAGCTATGTAACCTTTTAAAGGGTTAAACAAATTCCTTGACAAAACTAAATCTAGAATAATTAATATCTAGTCCTTAATAAAGTGTGTGCGGCTATATTTAGAAAGCCATACAAATGAACACTGCATTGATGACCACCAGTTTCACTCTTTAGACAATCATCAGATGACACTGTTATATATACTCTGGTATTAAGAATATTTTTACCCATAAATCTAGCAAATTTTAAATTGTGTGTGTGTGTGTGTGTGTGTGTATATATATTATATATATATATATATATATATATATATATATATATATATATATATATATATTCTCAGAATTAATCTGTAGAAAAAGACTATGTATAAAAGAAAAAGACAATAGGAAAACTGTGTAGGTTTAGCCAACATATTTCATCCAATGTGGACTTTTTCAAGGTAAAAAAAAAAACATTAATGAGGTCTCTCATTTTTTGTTGATAAATGTGTTTATCCATGATTACAATTCCCCCACTCTTATCAGAAGTAAATATGCGGATGTTTTTATTGCTAGCTAATTCTTTCAAGGCTTTTATGTACCTTTTGTGGAAGTGCAGTGTCATTCGTTTATATATATATATATATATATATATTTATATTCACTTTTCACATATATATATATATATATATATATATATCTGTGATTAGGCCTTGGATGTAGCCTTTGTTAAAAGCGGAGTCATTGTGATTTTTTTTAATTATGTAATCTTTGGTGTCATATTTTGATATTCCAGCAGCAAATTTTTGACCAAAGCTTCTAATTGTGTATCCGATAGTTGGAATTTGGATAAGTTTGTTATTAGGTCTTTTTGGCCAACCTTGGACAATTTGCTATTGTTATTCAGTATACTGAGTTCATTTTAATCAACTATGATAAGAAGCATATCCTAGTTTGTAATCATGGATAAAGACATTTATCAACAGAAAATGAAACCTCATTAATGATGACAACATCAATGAAAAAGTAAATGAAAACAAAGCTATAAAAGAAACACAAAAATTCACAAGCAACATCAAAAAACTTCTAAAAATGAAGACTCCTCCTGGATAAAACTTATTGAATACCATCCAAAAACACCCACATTATATGAACTACCAAAAACATAACCAAACATACCAATGAGACCAATTATATCAGGGATAGGCAGCACCCCACATAAACTAGCTGGCACACTAAACAAAATCTTAACCTCACACTTTGGCACTATTACTCCATCACACATAAAAAATTCAGATGACCTCCTAAACAAATTTAAAAAAGAAAAACAAATATATGGCTAGTTTAGATATAAAATCTCTATACACAAATGTCCCCTATAGAGAAATGCCTAAATCTACTAAAAACACACCTAACAAAAACAAAAATTACCTCTACCTACATATAAAATCATAAAAATATGCCAACTAATCAACAAGGAATGTTTCTTTACTTTTGATAAACCAAATTTTTGTCTGTAGAGTTGGTTAACTATAGGATCTCCTCTCAGTGGCATTCTTGCTTGTCTATTTTTTGGGTTTCTAGAAAGTAACCCATTCAAAAACATTCTATCTTCAAACTCTTACTATTTCAGATGCATAGACGACTCACTTCTAATATATCCACAAAATACTAATTTAACAGATCTTCTCAACCAGCTTATCAACATTGAACCTACTTCCTTTGAAAATGAAACCAACTACATTCTTCCCTTCCTAGATATCATGTTACACAAAAACAATAACAAACTTAATTTTGACATTTATAGAAAAGCTACAAACAAAAATGACCTGGTCAGTTTCTACTCAAAGCACTCCTCTAAAATTAAATCTGGAATAATTATAGGTTTCTATTTAAGAGCATTAAGAATTTGCATTCTCCAATATTTACCCAAAGAAACATACATAAAAAACATATTCAAAACCCTACAGTGTTCATATAATTTCATCCATGAGAAGAAAGGCGTACAAAATATACAACCGCAACAAAAATATCATCTATAATAATAAATTATACAAGAACAGATACATAATACTACTGACCAACTCCATCACATCCACTTATCCAGTACAGCCTTTCCCATTTAAATAATCTCAAAATAATGACAAACACTTATGGATATAATCAGATCTTCAAACATCCATAGCAATAATATTTTTGAAGCAGAATACATTGGAGAAACACACAGAAATTTTTTTAAAAATCCTGAGCATGAAAGAGACCTCATAAATAACAATTTGACAAATGCATTAGTCATACATAGAAATAAATTCAACCACAATTTTGATTTTAAAAATGCTACACTCATAAAAAAAAAAATAATTCAGTCAGGACAGTCCTCAAGAGTGCTGCTATTGAATTTTATCCAAATATTAATCTACGGCCCTTTTTTTTTTTTTTTCCCTAATCTCACCTTTCCTAACAGAATAACTACTTTCCCAAGCCAACATACGCAACAAATATATCAAGAAAATCAAAAGAAAATGTTTGAATCCATCAACACAAGAATACAAACAATATTTTACATATGAAAAATTCTCTTTAAACATAAAATGTAAATGATGTAATTTTTCAGTTGATCCAATGAATATATAATAGCATTTCTAAATTCTTCTAATTCCTAACGGCATTTTGTTTTTGGCTTATAAATACTTTGTTTCAATGTCCACATTGGACAAAATGTGTTTTGTTAAAACTACACACAGTTTTCCTATTGTTTTTTCTTTTTTTTTTTTTCCTTCATATATTTGTGAATTTCTATTTAAGAGCATTAAGAATTTGCATTCTCTAATATTTACCCAAAGAAACATACATAAAAAACATAGAATTTATTTCTATGTATGACTAATGTTCTCTAACTAGTTAACTTCACAAAATCCTCTTTAGGTCTGGCTGATAACTTTTCAGCAAGTATCTAATATTTCTAACATTTTGAAAGGTAGTGAAAAATATTTTTCTCATCATTTATTGAAAACCTAAAACTTTGAAATGTTTAGCAAAAACTTCCTGTTCGTCCACAGTTTGTTCATACTCTTCTCTTTTTTTCAAGTCTTATCTACATTTTCTTTTTCAGATGAAACAATGGTGATCAATGTGTTTAGTGGTGTGTTGGCAGGAGTTGTCTCCAGTTCCATAGCCAATCCAACTGATGTACTTAAGGTAAGTAAAACCTACAATTACTATTTACCACTAAGTTTTAAAAAGTTTATTTATATAAGTATTAGTGTCTGTGCATTTTATTGCATGTGAATAATTAATATTTTTTGATAACATCAACTTTCTCTTTGTTAGGAAATTCAGTTTTTATATTAAATACCCAAATATCTGAATTGTAAACAATAATAAAATAAAGAAAACCTGATTGTCTGCCAAAGAAATTTTGGAATCACACACATATAGAAATTCAAAAAGATCAAAAAGGAATAAAAAATAGTCTTAATGAAGTTGGTCTTTGGGTAGTTGTTTCACAGAAAAGGTTGTGGTTTTAAATAGTTGGTTCTCCATAAAAAGCAGTGGTTGAGAGAAGGCGTTTATTGCTAGCAAAAATTCACTGGTCATCTTCATTGTGGGAGATAATTCATTTGAAGTTGCCAACTGGCCATCAGTGAAGATTCACTGACCATCCAAGATGTTTTTGTAGCCGATTCATTTGAAATTGCCAGCACATTTTTTTTTTCTTCAGCACATGCTGTGGTAGAAAGAAAAAAGCTCAGTAATCATGTCTTCTCTTGTGTACAAACAATCCAGAGACAGCTGCATCTCTGCTCTTTGAAAATCGTAATCTGAGTTTTCATAAGAAATTTTTCCTGAAAGTAGGCTTGAAAAAAATAGGGTTTTAGTTTTCACTGATTGGCCACATATTTTGGGATGTTAATTTCTAACCAATAAACACTTTGATTTAAATGGTGTGTGTAGTATTTTGGAATCTTCATGGCATGTTTGTAATATTGTCTGTTATTGGGTAGAAAATAAAGTTTGGGCATGTTTTAATATGGTATGCATATGGGTACGTAATTGTGTTGGAAATAGGGTTTATTTCGTATAACAGTTCTAAAGGTCTTAATGCAAGCAGTATATTCTGGGGAATATTTTAAAAACTTGGATAATTGAAAAGATTTTTCTTTTTAGTTTTTTTAGAAAAAATATTTCTTCTAACAATGATCAAAATGCTTACAGTTGCACTTTAAGTTAAGGATATTAACTTTTTTTTCTCTGCTTACTATTGATAAAGAAAATCTGATAAAAAAACATTTATGGTACTCTTAATATTCCATTTTTGACCCACAACAAGTAACGGTATATTAATGGACCATTTTGATTTTTCCCTCTTGTTTTGTGAGCTATCATCCATTAGCTTTGATTGTGAACTGGAACCCATAAATGGCTACAGGTCAAGAAATAGTCAAGTGATTATATACATACAGAGCTACTAAAGAATCTGTTGATTCTGATGGTATCTGGGATTTGGTTGAATGGCTTAGAAAATCATAGCAAATAAATTCCCCTTAATCAATATCTTTATTGATCAGCTTTACATTATCAAAACTGCTGTACACCAAAAGCAAGAACTTGATTAACCAACAGAAAAGGCATCATAATAATTTCTTGAGTGATAATGATGCTGTTTAATTTAACAGTCTAATTAATCCTCCCTTATCTCCTCTACCCACCCACCTCCCACTAGCTAGGGAGATAAGAGATGGAGAAATGCTTTTCCCACTGAGTATTAGTACTAAAGTGGACATAACAGATTAGCTCAGAATTTAAATGGATTTCACTTTCCATTGTATTATTATTGTGACGTTCCTCCCGGCCTCCGTCCTATCCTGTGACGACCAATGTGACTTGGTATTGGTCGCGGCACCAAATGTGATGTTCTAACCCTTGGCTGATTCGGATGAGAATCTGGTTAGATTCGGTATCAGCTTTTTCGTTCCCAGCTCGGCTCCAACGTCTGGTTACCGAAGTAACTGCTTTGATTTCTAGTCTAACCTACCCACTTTGTGATTTGATCTTAGGTAGATGAAATCAATCAGTCGCCGGGCCGTAATGCAAGCCGAATTCAAGCAAAGATGACATCGCACAAGTATATGTAAAAGAAAATAAAGTAACAACTCGAAAAGTTCAAATGTGTTAAAAAAGAATAACAAATATTTTTATATCTGGTTGCTGAATACAGGACTGCGTCTTTCTCCCAAACCACTAATATGGATACGTGACACTTTGCGTTTGTTAGGTGAGTCTTAATATCTTAAGTTGTTCTTCAATAACTGTTTTTTTTTTTTTGTATCTTCAAGCGATACTCGTAAAACTTGTTTTGGTGGTGTGAGTCTAAGTTGTTCTTCAAAAATAAATTGTTTTTGGTTAGAAGTCGAAGTCAGAATGCATGGATCTTCAGTCAGCTTCCTGCGAGGCTGGTCTCAGAGCTCACAGCTCAACTCTGTCTGCGTCTCCTCGGAACTCTGCCACTCTCCAACTGCAACTCCCGTCTACTCGCTGCAACTCTGTTTATATGGATGCCGACCAAAACCGGGTGTGGGCTTGTCAGGGTTTGAGTTCCTCGATAATTCTAAATCCACAATAAAGATTTTCTTTGTTTTCAGACAGGAAAATTTATCACTTTCCATTTTTGGAAGTCCATTACTTTCTGCCCCAGAGGGGTTCTTAAGGGAATTGTCCTCCCAAATTCTTCCTTTCTCATATTGGTATCTCACACCAATCCCCTAAGAGGGTGTCAACAGGTTTCCCTTCTCTCTAACAGTGATATCTCACACCAATCCCCTCAGAGGCGTCAACAGGCCTCCCCTCCTTCTCATATGTTTACCTTCATCCACCGCTCACACCACTACTCAGCCAATGATGCTCGGCAGCGCGGGTGTTTACAATTATCACTCAAAGGAAAAAAAAAATTATCTTCCTTTTTTCTTTTCTTTCTTTTCCCTACACCAGACCCCTATGACTCGTAGTATGGTCCTTAATCTCTATCTTAACCGAATGTCATTTGGAATTTATCAACGAGATTTTTGCCAGCGTCAAAGGGGTGGTTAACTGGACGTCTTCGCACTCTGTCACCAATTATCTGTCCAGGTAACAAACTTTTATCATGTCCAGGTCTGGACAATAAAACAGGTGGTCTCTTACCAAAAACAAATGATATCTCCGAAAGATAGTTAATGGTTTATTCTTTCCCTTTCTCTCTCTTTCTGTCTGGGATGGCCTCAGCTGATGCTTTTCTCGGTCAGTGTGTGACCTGATTACCATTATCTTCCAGCTTGTTTCGTAGGCCACTTGACAAATTTGAAATTTTCATTATTGCCATGGGCAGATTGCTATCTTTTATGCGCCGCGTCGTAGCATAAATTAATTCCGACAGATCCGAGATCTTACGAATTTCCCATCTTCTGTGAAAAAAAAATACTTTTCTTCGTAAATGAAAATAAAATCTTGACCACTTTTCTTTGTTAAAAGAAATAACATCGCTCAGTATGTCTTTTCGTGATAGCTTCTTCTCACCTTAATTATTTCTCGCTTTTAATTTTCACGCGACCGCTAAATAGTGTCACATTATTCATTACTCTTATATTTACATATTTAGCAAATATCCTGTTTTACAAATCTGTTCTCTTACCTGGAATCATTTTCTTTCAGTACAAAAGAATATTCTACCTTAATTCTGTTGACAAAAAAGTCTCTCATGTGCAATCTTGAACTGTTCAGGAAAAACTAAATTAATTAATTTAGAATTTAAAGAAAATCTGTATTGTTTATTTTTCGTTTTAGGTTTCAGTTTCTGCTTTTTAAATTCTGTCCTGTCTACTAATGATTATAGAAATGGTGATCTGATATTTACAATGAAAAAAAATAAGATTAAATATTAAAAAGAAACAAATTTGGTTGTAAGTCTAATATTTAGCCAATTTTAACATGTATGGTAATTAGGAGATAGTAATGTTAAATTATTTTTTCTCTCTTTATTTTTCAGGTGCGGATGCAAGCATGCACAGCAGCTGGGCAGACATCCATGTTCAAATCTTTCATACATATCTATCAAAATGAAGGAATACCTGGACTTTGGAGAGTAAGTGGTTTCTTTAACCCAACCCCCTCCCCCCCAACTCATCTCTTCCCCACCACCACCCTTTCAAGTAGCAGGATAACATTATAGATAGACCAATAGAACAGGAACATCCTTGAAGTCCAATTTAACCTAAGAAGAAAAATGAAATTGCAATAATTTGAGATCACAAATCCATCTATTTCCATCTTGACTTAAAATCTTTTTCATAACCAAGACAATTATAAAGTCTGATTCTTCTTCTTTCATGTACCGTGTACCTTCAGGACATAGGCTATTATGGCCCTCCACATCCTCCTGTCCTTTATAGCACTTAATAAGTTTTGTCTTTTTGTTATTTCTTCCAAACCCTGTTCTGCCATCCAATTGCTCGAACCCATTAAGTATATCCTGTGTTGCATTCCCCATCCCTCTTTTCCTCTATCCATCCTGTGAGTATCAGATTTTCCAAGCCCTCCTTCCTTATTACATGTCCCAGAAATTTCACCTGCTTCTTCCTAATGTTGAGTATAAGTTTCCTGTTTGTTTCCATTTTCTCTAAAACCTTGTCATTGCTTATATGTTCAGCCCATGGCATCCTTCTGTAGAAACATATTTTTGTGGTTTTGAGTCTCTTCTTCATCTTTGAGGAAATTGTCTAGCATTCACTGCCATATAGGAGGACAGACATCATGTAACAGTTCAGTTCTCTTTTCTTTGTTTCTAACAAAATATTTTCTGTCTCTTAATACTCTGCTTTGCTTAGCTTTTGGAATGCATCTTTGGATCTCAGGGTTACATTTTCTGTCCTCTGTTAGAACACTTCCCAAATATTTAAATTTCTATACCTGCTTGATTTGAGTATCCCCAACCTGTAATTTGCATTTTGGACTCATCTTTTAACTGATGACAATGCATTCTGTCTTCTTGTAGTTTATGCATAGTCCCTTCTTTTCTCTCTCCTTCACTACCTTCTTTAGGAAGTTTTGTAGTTTCCTTTCCGTGTCTGCTATCATCACTGTGTCATCTGCATATCTTATATTGTTAAGATTGTGGCTGTGGTAGGATTTCTAGTACTTTCATAATTTCCTCACTGTGGTTGAATAAGTCTAGTGAGAAGATACATCCTTGTTGTTTATATATATATATATATATATATATATATATATATATATATGCTGAATTTTTTATCTATATGCAGGTGGTTTGCTGCCAGTAGCGGTTTTTGATTATTTTAATGTCTTTCCCGAATATATCAAGGTTGCTGAGCATCTCTAACAGTTCTTTGGACACCTAATTTCGCATACACTTAAAATGTTGACATTTAACCTACTCATCTCATGTTTCACATTTTCCAACTGGTCACAGTTGTTTAACATTTTAACATTGTATGTCCCAAGAGTTATTTTTTGTTTGATGCAAACATTTGCTGGATGACAGTCCAGTGACACCTGTTACTCCTTTCCAAGCAATGGATCAGTTCTGAGGAATTTTATCCCCTTTATGCCATTTAACAGTTGCTGGATGGCAGTCAGATAACACCTGTTGCACATGTTGGTCCTTACCCAGCAAGGAGTTAATTTCCATAGATTTAACCCCTTTCACATTGTTAGGTTTCATATTGTGTTTGTGAATTGCCATGATATTTCTTGGGATTAATAGTAGAGTGGTTTCCCGTTGCTTTCTCCACTGTGGTTCATTGTGACACTGCCTCTAGTTAGCTGATTCATCAAGTTCTTCTGCCCTTTTATAAAATTGAATTATTGTTTTATTTCATTTTTAAATCATCATATAGATGTCTGATTTTTTTTTTATTCAAGAATTTATTCCAATCTATTTTTTATTTTTTTTTATTTTGTAAAATGTGTATCACATTAGCCAGTAAATACACTAAATATAGAAAATATAAGAAGCAAAGATTTTTATTCCCAAAATATTAAAATTGCTACATTCTACAGAGACTATTTATTAGAAGATATTATAGGTAAATATGTATATCAGACTAATAGTGAATGGAGTGGAAAAAAGGAATCCTACATTGAAAAAGACTTTCTGACTAATAATGTTTTTCTTTTTTTATTTTTATCAATGTGATCTTGTATGGAGAAGTGATAAAATACAAGAAATGCTGATAATTCTACAAGAAAAGCTAAAGATGGTAGGGATGCTTAGCTTTAAATTTTTGGTGTCGGTGTATCTTGAGAACCAACCTTGTCTGGCTTTCTACTGCTTATGCATTTATTTATTATTTTTTTTAACACTATTGCTGTTAAATATCCCACATTGTAATAGCAGTAGTTTTGTTAGAAAAAGAGTTATGTTGGATGATCCTGGATATAAATTTACTCTGCATTTTTAATACATTTTTTGTCTTAATAAATTACTTTCTCTTTTAATTTTAATAAATTAAAATGAATTTCTTTTTCCTTTAATTCCAAGTCAAAAAGAAGTTTTTTCAAAGATAAAACATTTAATGCAGGAGTTTTACTTCAAGTTTGTCATTACAAACAATTTACTCTTATTTCTGTGTGTGCTATTCCAGTTTGAAATATGATTTGATAGAAGCTTTTGCTAAATTAAATCTGCTAGTTTTACTTTCAGGGAGTTATTCCGACTGCACAAAGAGCAGCTGTTGTTGCTGGAGTGGAGCTACCCGTCTATGATATCACCAAGAAACATATAATCAAATCAGACTTAATGGGAGATCATGCAGGCACTCATTTTCTGTAAGTCAATTTTTTACAACCCCCCCCTTTCCTTTTTATGTGAGGATTCATGAAGTTCATGAAGGTTTTTCTCTTTGCTTTGTCCAAAAGCAATGACTATACCTTTGGAGTTTCAAGATGTTGATATTCCACACTATTTTAAAAAAAGGTTAAGAAGGAAACCCCCATCATCACTGGAAAGAGCAATAACAGCTAATGGACTTAAGAAATCTATTTTCTTAAAATTGTTTTAAGAGAAACATTTTTTTAAATTTCAACTGACAGTAGTGATGTCCGCTCACCCAGTGATTGTGAAATATTTCCTTATAATGATATAGTGACATCAGACTTTGGGGTTAAAAAGAAGAATTGATTTTACCCATGCCAAGAATATTAACCATGGATGATAATAATGAGGAAATACAGGTAATTTTAACAAAAAAATAAGGAATTTATTTTACTAATTTACACCCTTGAAGTAGTGTTAGTAGCTCATTTTATGAAAATAAATCAGAAATTTTTAAAGTCTGTAGTTTTTATTGAATTGTCATGAAGAAATATTCATACAATGGATGTAGCAAAAAAAAACTTCAAACTTTGTTTCTTTCCTTGCAAACAATGTGTTCAAATAATTGATATGGCAGCCAAATTCCACAACATTCCCCCAGATCTCATGATCACACTGGTGACAACCAGTCTTCCGTCTCCTCACCTGATGATTCACCTCCCAAAAGGACATCAGACGTATTTCCACTAGACTGAGCATTGTTTTCTTCTGAGGACATGCTCTAGGCATATCTTATTTTGATCAGTCCCTCAGGATTTGCTGTCGACATCACTTATTGGTGTGTTTGAACTGACAAAAGGGGCACAGATCCTTCACATGGCACAGCATCCCATCAACACGAATCTCACATGTGGACTTCTAATCCCTGTGACACATCCTATTTGATATTGAGTTGTACATAGGTTTTGAGGGGCTTTTACCCACACATGGTCCCCTAACCCATATGTCAATCATCCATGTTCTTGCTTTGGTGGAGGTGTTTTATCAATACCTTGTGCCTGAACTGTAACGGTAAATCCCATTAGCAGGCACAATGGAAAGTGACACATCATCTTTGGGTGTAATGTTGTGCCAATATACAGCTTCTGTCACTGAGCATTGTTTCCTCACAGCAATTTGCTTTACACTTCAGTGGCAACATTTAACTATCCTGTTACCAGAAAGGATGTGTGCATAGAAGAATCAGATATGGATATCCCATCCATGTAAAAACTCATTGAATGGTTTCCTACAAAAAGTAGTGTTATTTTCGGTGTGAAGTTCAGCAGGAGGTCCTTGTTCAAAAGATAGGGCCTTTAAATGGCTGATGACACTGGCTGAATCTTGTCAATGCAGTTGTTGCCAGATTGTGAATGGAGTGAGTCCACAGTCAATGTTTACCATCGTGGTGAGTGATATTCACACATCACTAACTTTTCTCTTGACCATTGAACTAGTAATGGGTCAACAAACTAACACTCTCTACATTCTCTGACTACAACCGTAACCCTGCTGCCTTGGACACAGCTGGATCAATCTACCTTTGCAAGTACAGTGTTCGTTTAATGCTAGCATGCCCACTTTGACAGTGTATCAACCTTATCTTGCCTGAGCTGTATTTGCTCACTGATGCTGCACAGAAAAGTTTCACCAGTTCAGTCTCCTTCTTCACTGCATCGAGCCATCTCTATGCTATCCTCATCAGCTTGTCTGCTCAGTTCTAGTTGGATGTCACCACCACTGTCCATGGATAAGTCATATTCATTGACCAGATTTTCCAAGGTACTGAGCCTCCTCTTAATGAGCATCTCGTTTGAGGCCTTTGTGTGTTCCCTGCCTTTTTGGTGAGAGTGTCAAATATCCATCCATGAACGTATGCAAAGTCCATGAATAAGTGAAACTTGCCTTCTATTGAAGCACTACATTAACACCCCTGAGTACGGCATCTAACTCAACTATGTTTATATGCTGAATGTCCTTCTTGGGATGCAACCAGCATGCATCTTCCACTACATCCCTATTTAACTCCAGGGACACTCTAGTTGCAAAGGAGCTCGTATCGATCCATGATGCTGTCCTGGTATATTGGCTGATTTCCACAGTAAAGTTGGGCTGATTTACAGTCATGGCTGCACAAATATGAGGATTAACAAACCTGACTCCCCCCCCCCATTTTTGTGATGAGAACACCGCCCAACCTCTCAATGACATCTATCCTGAGGAGTAAGTCAAATCCTAACAATTTGCTCTCCACAACCAGAACATTTATATTGATAGGGTCACTATTGTCTATGTGGACTTCCATGCTTGCGACTCCTCGACTTCCGAGGACCTTTTCATCAGCATGTCCATCTCTTCTTTTTTTTTTTTTTTTTTTTTTTTTTTTCATGGACGACAACTGGATATGTTCATACGTGTACACAAACAACCTGTATCCATGTGGGGGGAGGGATACATTTCACTCCATCAATGCATACATCAATTATGGTGAGTGTCTCTTTCATGACTTGCAGGGAAGATAGAATGGCACTGATGTGGTCTGGTAGGAGATGCATCACAACTGGTAATGCTGCATTTACATCCTGGAGGGAAATGAGGCTGGCACTGACACATCACATGCTGACACATCTCCAAGACAATCTCGTCTTCTGGCCCCTAATGGCAGTGGTAGCAATGTGCCCAAGTCACTTGCCCCTTTTGGGGGCATTCCCTCACCAGGTAGTTTGGGCCATTGCATCTGTAGCATTTGATTCTCACAGAAAGGCCCACAGTTGAGAGAACATGTTTACTGTGGGTGGGCCTTGCAGCCACTACCACAAGTACCTCTTCTGACTCTTCCTTCATAATTGCCCAGGCCAATAACTCCTCAAGTGGCAGCGTGTCCATCCTGGAGGTCGAGCTTCAAACGGCTCTTATGCAGAGAAACTGTCTGCATCACAAGAAGTGTATTGCGCCATCTTAATTCATGCTGCATCCACTCTCTCTTCCTTGTTTAATTGCTGATACACTGCAAATGCCCCTCCAGTCAGTCGAAGGAGAATGATGGTCTTGAGCTGCATCATGTCACAGAGGTCACATAACAGTTTGACTTTTTTTACCCATTCTACTATTGACTAACTGCCATCAAATTCAGGAATCCGCTTTACATCAAATTTGCTATCCGCCATGTTGCCAAAATAGCTTGTAACAAAAAAAAGAAAACTTTAAACTTTTTTGTTTCTTTCCTTGCAAAAACACTGTGTTCAAATAATTGATATGGTAGCCCAATTCCACAATGAACTAAACAAATCATAATTCCAAACTCAAAGATCTAGAAGAAAAAATAAAATTGAAATCGCAGGTCCAATGTCACAAATCCCAATACACATAAATGGTCAGAAATCCAACATGTAAGCCAATGGATGGGGTTGAGAACACCAACCAATTTTTTCATTGATTGACAGTTGGAGAGGACAAACAATACTGCAACTGATTTATTTCTATTTTGGTTATTCTGTTCTCGTCATATTGAACAGAATAAATATGCTCTTTTTCTCACTAAGTGACTTTTTCTTTCACCACAATGGATTAAATGATCTGGCACAAAATAATATTCAAAAATGTTTAAAACAAAAGTAAGAGTTTGTTGTTCAGAGGGGATATACGGTTGTATACATTCTGTTATATGGGAATAAAGTGTCACTGCTGACACTGGAGTTTGAACACAGGTCACCAGTGAGCAAAGACAGGTGATTCCATTTATAATAAGTAGACCATGTGATCATAAAAGAAATGTATATATGGGAATTAGCATTGATCACCATTTCTATTCTGTTCTGTATTACTATATGGATCGCTATTCATTTCACTATGCTATTTCTCTATACTGATCATTATTTGGTGATTACTATTCGAGCGAGTATTATCGAGCAAGTACTATTAGTGCGAGTATTATTTGAAGACATCTGACACCAGGATTGTTCAATAGCATTACTATAGTTGTATCTGCAATTACAAAGTCTCTACTACAATGGGCATTACAAAAGTAACGAGTAGTCATTGACATTACAAAAGTGGCAACGAGTGTTCATTGACATCACAAAATGTTCAAAAGTAGACAAAGTTTACAATGCTTACTTTTCTTGGATTGTTGAAAGTTAGTTCTTTAGTGCCACATGCTTGGTTAAAAGTCAGTAATATAATTGGTAAGTAATTTGACACTGGCAAGAATTTGAACACTGGATGCCTGAACAAAAACAAAACCTTTCTCATGACTTCAGACTCTCTTCTCTTGTTCATTTTTTTTTTTTTTTTACTCATTTTATATCAAAAAGGACTTCACATAAACTCACTATTTTCTTTTCTTTCTTTTTTCTTGGCTCAACAGCTAATTTTTGTGAAGATAAGGTTTTTATTTGTCCAAAAGCAATTTCATATAGGCTTGCAAATTTCGTTCCTTCTTTTTCCTCAGCTTGCCTGAATTTGAAGGAGTGTATAAAAGGAGTTATCTTATACTCACTACACAAAAAGTGGTAATAATATAATTACCCTTACATGGATACAAATATATATTTGCTTTGTGACTTTAGATTGAAACTATTTTTGTTTCCAGTAAATTGATTATAGACATACAATAGTTTTATTTATTTTTTGGGGTTTTTTTTTACCCCCTTTTAATTAAATGAGATTTAACTTCTTATTTTCACTAAACTTACTAGTGCAGAAAAAAAATTTGTTCTGTACTTTTTGATACTACAAGATAAATTCAGGAATATTGAATATAAGTGTGAAATTTTTATTTTAATTTTTCTTCAGAAATAATTAAAAACATTGTCAGTAGAAACATTAGCCTGAAATTTTTCCTATTCATTCATCCAATCTGTCAAGAATTTAAAATCCTGCCTTTTTAATGTTTTACCCAAGAAACAATAGGATTTCTTACTAGGTGTGGTGGAAATAAATTAAAATATTAGAAAAATTAACTGTGCTTTTTAAGTTTTGTTTTAAAAATTTTAATTAAAATCTTTTTTTTTTTTTTTTTTTCCTTTCTTTTTTCTTTTTTCCTTTTTCCTTTCCTTTTTTCCTTTTCATAAACATTTTTAACAAATTAACAACGCTCAATCTTTCTTAATGATTGTTTTAATATCTTCTGAATTTGTACTCTTTCATTTGAAAGAATTTTAAATGTATAACAGGAGTAGATAGGTGAACCGATCATTAGTTCACATACCTCCTGGCCTTTTGAACAGGAATAGAGGTTTATCTCTTATTTACTGTCTACAATTGGGTTTCCAGTTCCTTCTAAAGTTTTCTCTTTCACTCCCAGGCACCTCTTAAATCTTAGTGGTATTATCACCTAGCTTGGGGTGAAATGGTTAAAAAAAAAAAAAATGAAAAATATACCTGACAATTTATTGCATAAATGATGACCGAGACACCTCTATATTAAACGCCCATTTTTTTTTCTTTTTCTTTTAGTGACTTCCATTATTTCTTTTAAAATTCTTTATTTTAAATCTTTATTTTAAGTTTATAATCAGGATAATTGTTCTCTCTCTCTCTTTCTTTTTTTTTTTTTTATATATAGAGCCAGTTTTACTGCAGGTCTGGCAGGTGCTGTAACTTCCAATCCAATAGATGTTGTAAAGGTCAGTTTCTTTTGTGAATACCAATATTCTTATCTGATTGTTACAATCAAGACAAAGGAATTCTCATCTAATTCTATTTTATGCTCATAACTTACTTTCTCCTCTCATTCCTTATTTTTGTGTAACCCTACATGATCCAGGACACACAGACTGATATTTTTTTTTTCTTTTGATAAATGAAACATTAAGCAACAGACATCTGGATATATAAATAAAATATAAGAGAGAGAAAGAGAATCATGAAGACTTACATAAGGTTGAATTCTTTCTTTTCTATTAAAATAACCAGAAGATGTAAGAAATAAAGGTAATAATATTAAGAATCAGGACTACAAATGGAATTCAGCATTTGAAATTGTTTATTGCATTTAAAGATAAAATCTAATGCTTTTAAACAGAGCAGCTGAAGTATGTAGGTATTTTTTTCCAACAGGTTTGTGTGTTTACATGTAAGGGTGCAGAAAGTTCTGGCCAAGTCTGCTTCCACAATCAGTGCACCCCTTGTATATTCCAGAAATATATATATATATATATATGCACATTGGTTGATAATGACTGCCTCAAATTATTATACCATTTTTTAAAATATAAATCTTTTGTAAAACACATTCTTAGTCTATTTTTTTAAAGACATCACAAAATTGGGTTTTATTCTATTGGTGGTTGCACTTCATCTGATTGTGTTTTTTTTTTTTTCATTGTTGTTGATAAAGATATTAATGTTAAATAAATAAAATTTCCATTTGCAATATTTAGTTCCTGGCTTTTTGCAATAATGGATTTTATTTTTTATTTGCAGACCCGTCTGATGAATCAACGTGTAATTAAAGTAGTTGGGGAAGCTGGAACTGCCCCAGCTATTTATGCTTCTTCTATGGATTGCCTTGTGCAGGTAACTGTTCCTTATTCACGTAGCAATCATTTTAATTCCATTTGAGATTTTTATTCAAGATATTAAGAATGAGTATTCATAACTTGAGTTAATAATTTAAAAATCAACTCTTATGGAAGTTTTGACCTTGATTTATTAATGCTTATGAAAACAGTAATTCTCTTCATTTATAACAGTGCTTAACAAACAGAAAATGTGTACTTCTTTTGTCTGACAAACAGAAAATGTGTACTTCTTTTGTCTGACAAACAGAAAATGTGTACTTCTTTTGTCTGACAAACAGAAAATGTGTACTTCTTTTGTCTGACAAACAGAAAATGTGTACTTCTTTTGTCTGACAAACAGAAAATGTGTACTTCTTTTGTCTGACAAACAGAAAATGTGTACTTCTTTTGTCTGACAAACAGAAAATGTGTACTTCTTTTGTCTGACAAACAGAAAATGTGTACTTCTTTTGTCTGACAAACAGAAAATGTGTACTTCTTTTGTCTGACAAACAGAAAATGTGTACTTCTTTTGTCTGTCTGAATTTCTGAGATGGGCAGTCATTTACAGTATTTATATGCACGACTATCCTCTCTTTTGTGATTATCAAATTTCGACCATTGTGCTATCTGGCTTTCTTCAGGTGTTTGTCAATCCAAGTAATCTTCAGGGAATTTGTAACTGAACCCTTTACAGTAGTGGATTAAAGCATTGGTTCATAAATTTGGTGATATAGAAATTGTGAATTCAATCTCCTGGTTGGGTAGTGCGGACGTAGACTCACTGGAAATGGGTGACTAATAACTGAGCAGTACTAAAGATAAGAACTAGATGAGATATCCCTCAGACATGTTCTGCAGAATTAAAACAATCTACCCCTGGAAATTAAAGGGTTCTGTTATGACACAGATCAACAGACACCTGAAGAAGGCAAAAAGGCATAACTCCTTGAAACATTGTAGTAATAACAACAAAGGTGAGGACAATAGTCCAAATGTAAATAATTCATTTATGCCGTCCTCTGCTTCTGTTCAGAAATAACTTGTCATTTTTTAATGAATGTACAAAACGGTAAATAAAAATACAAAATCAAGTACAAACAGACCATGGTACAAAAGTTAGCAAAAGATTTACCAACCTTTCTTGTTTCTATCATAATGTTGTACATTGGTGACAAAATCTCGTTCAAGTTCAAAAAAAATCTGTGTTAAACTAATTCTTTTATTCCTTGTCAAAATAATATAGAATTCTGTATGAAAAGCCTTTACCAAATTCTCAACCAAATCTTTGACCTAATAAGTTGTTGATGAGCTGTCAGTGGAAGTTCTTAATTAGAGATAAAAAATTTTATTTTCTAATAAAAAAAAAATCCTTAGATTGTATTATTTTCAATGTCCTCCTTAACCACCTTAGCACTTCCATTATAATCAGGTCACCGAAATACATTTTTAGTCACAGAACTTTTAAAAATTTAAGCACAATCAGAATTTCTTTAATTATCCAGAATCCCAGATGTTTATTAACATGAAATAAAAGAATGCTAATAGTAATGATACCCTTGATAAATCTCAACTTTCAATACACCTGAATGAGCTTTGAATTCCATCTCTACAAATGTAATTATTACTTTTGCAATCAGCATATACAGAAATGATCTCTCATACATCTAATAATCCATAGTAGGTTTATATATATATATATATATATATATATATATATAACATTAAAGTCAACACTCAGAGGCAACAGGCTGTTTCATGCTAGACACAAATCGTCAGGCCTGAAACAGCCTGTCACCTCTGAGTGTTGACTTCAATGTTCACTTTTTATATTTATATTTACATACACTCTATCTCTGATATTGAGCACTTTATCCCATAAATATAGCACACCTTAAAACTATATTTCTTCATATATATATATATATATATATATATATATATATATATTTGATTTCATAGTACTCGGATCAAGAGCATTTATCTCAATTTACGTGTGGTAAATGATGACATCTTGAATGTTTACCCATTACATAGTGTGGCTGTCCATATGGACATAAAATGGCTTGAACTAGTCAAGATTTGTTTTAATATATACTGACAAACTGCAAATGTCCAAAAGGTATATAATCCAATTATTGCCTAACAGAGCTTCTATACATGCATCTATTTACAATTCCTAACTTTGTTCAATTATAAAACACTGACACTTTTGTTATTTATAGTGCTTTAGCTATCTATTCAATAATTGGTGTCTCCCAAAAGTGATATTGATATATTGGATTTCACCATAGCACGGATTAAGATTTGGTTGCCGAGTAAATTTGTTAGGAGATTATAAACAAATCTTGGTTGAAATAAGCTGAGGATTAATATATCTGCAGTTTTATTTTGTAATTGAATTTCAAAAACTGTTTCCTGTTATCCCTCTGAATTATTGATGATTTTAGGTCAATTAACTACTGACCGTAACATGATTTGAACATATAACCTTCTATTTTGGCTATTATATATGTAAAGGTGAACATAGATTTCAGATTTCTGAATTTTTTTTTTTTTTTTTTAATTCTTGTTCAACTTTTTTAATACATGAATCAGTACAGTAATTTATAAAATATTTTAAATATAATTTAAGTAATTTTTGTTGAATTTTCCAAGACATTTTTCCATCTCAGGTATTCAATTTTTTTTTCTGTTGATTTTACAGTACCCATCAGTGTGAGGACAGAGCCCCCACTCCCACCCCTATCTTCTGAGGTTAATGTTTGTTATGACTAATTAAATTTTACTTTAATTGCTAGTATTCTTTTTATTCTTCTTTTTCTTTTTTTTATGTCAATATTTTGGCCAGATTTTCACAAATATGTAACCTCCAAACGTTTTTACCTTTTTATTTCATTTGCATTACTTGTTTTGCCATGTCAAACATTACTCCAATGAATCAAGCTCATAACAAATGAAGAGGCAACATTTAAAAAAAAAAAAAATTGATGATTAACTGTTTTTCTCTACCTTTGTTTCTCATGATTATTTTTCAAAACAAGTTCAATGGTCATTCTTTTTTTTTTTTTCTCTCTCTCTAGACTGTCAAATCTGAAGGTTTCTTTGCACTCTACAAAGGTTTCATTCCAACTTGGGTGAGACTTGGACCCTGGAATATTATCGTATCCTTTTTTCATGCACAGGATTTACCTTAAAAAAAAATGGGTATAAATGGCATTCATTATTTTTCTGTAAATAATCAAATGAAGAAAATTTAATGGCAGTAAATGAAGTTCAAAATTTTTGATTTGTAGTGTCTCGGTTACAATAAATATGCTCTCTCTTTCACGCACACACACACATACACACCAATTGAAAACTTGATTATTCACAAAGGACCTTTGAAATTCAATCTTACTCTTGTTGCTAAGAATTAATGACAAATGAATGTTACTTCATAAGTAATATTTTTGACTTAATAGAACATTCTTTTAATATTACATGAAGACAAGAACCTATTTATGAAAAGGTTTACAGCAATTTTTCTATATAAAACTGAGCATCATTATTATTTTTGTGAAACTTGTTTAAGGTATTTTTTTTTTAAAATCTATATAAGAAACTCCTCCCAATCCTTTACTCATTTATTACATATAATGATCAGTAAATTTTATTTATTGCAGAGATCTACAATAGGTTTTTTTTTTTTTTTCTTTTTCTGAATTTCTGTGATGAAGAGTTGTCATTAATCATATTTGGACTAATGTCCTCATCTTAGTGTCAGAATGCTTCAATCCATGTAGCTTCCAGCTTTCTTCAGGTATCTATTGATCCAGGTAATCTTCAGGAAATTTAAAACTGAACCTAGAGTGTTAGATTGTTCTCGTTTCATTGTCCATCTGTCACGATCTCTCAGTAGTGAAACAATTGCGACCATCTACACACCTGTTTCCACTGAATCTAAGGACTGAACTGTCTACTCGGCTGTTGTTATTAAATAAGAACATGATATCTCAAGATGTGGAGAGTGGAATAACAATAATCTATTATTGTAAATTAAATAAAAGACTCAGGAGATTAATCAGAATGACAGACACCTGAAGAAAGTCAGAGAAGGTACAACAGCTGAAACATTGATAACAAAGATGAAGATACCAGTCTATAATACAAAAATAAATAAATAATAAATCTCAGTATAAAAGAGCTCCTTGCATAAATAGTTGAATGATGCAATAACATTACTAACACCAATTTTCTTCATGAGTCTTTACAAAATCTTTATTACCAAGTTTATAAAAGATAAAAGTCTGTAATGATTAGAAGAATTGGTAAATAGTTTAAATTTGGATGATTGAATTTTCATTAATGAGAAATGAATTAAGACTGAATTGGAAATTTACTGTAAATATTTAAAATAACTTCTTTATCTGACAAATGCCATGTTTTTTTTTTTTTTTTTTTTTTTTTTTTGTTTTTTTTTTCTGCTTAACTCTTTCGCTTTCCTTAACTGTTTTCTCTCCAGTTTTTCTTGACATTTGAACAACTCAAGAAATCTTTCTAATCTAGCCCCGTCCAAGCGAAGCCACGCACTGACCACTTGCGGCCGGATGGAGAGTAACAAGCTGTTACCACACAGGCTTTTATTTATTCCAACTCCCCACCCACCCACATATCCATTTTATCTGATACTGGACAGCCAGGGAGAAATTGAATCTCATTGTTGTCGTAGTCATCATCATCATCATTCTTGCCTTCTCTGGTTTTGGGCCATGACTCACCAGATTCTGTCTATTACTATGAAATTGTTACAGGAAACAAACCTGTCCAAATGTACATGGATACACCCCACTCCCTCCTATTTTTTTTTTTTTTTTTTTTTTTTTTCAATTTCCAATTTTGGAAAAATTAGTTTTTCTTGTTATTGTTGATGGGCAATAGATTTGGTTGTAATTTTAGAGAATTCTCTTCAAACCCCTCCATCCTCACCCACTTAGCTGTAAAAAAAAATAAAGCAGTCCTCAAGATGAGGTAAAATAGATGAAAGGGAGTAAACCTTTTTCAATTTATTTATTTTTTATAAACTCTACCTAAAGCCATTTTTATTGGAGTTTTTTTTTGGGGGGGTCCTTCCTGCCCAATCAGCCCAACCTTGCAAGTGCATCTCATTTCCTGTGTGCTCCAACAATATCTAAATAATCTGTTACAATTCAAATTTTAAATAAATAAAAAAAAAAATTTAAATCACATAAAGGTAAAACTCTTTGAACAGGTGTAGTTAAGTTGGTTAAATACCAAGAGTTGAGCTGCAACTAAGTGTTGGAAATAATACCTGGAATGCTCTGTATGATTTAAAAAAAAAAAAAAAAACTCCCTTTAATGATATGTATTTCTGTAAGTATCACACTTTTGAAAATGGTTTTTTGAAGCAGTTTTCATTAATGGCTTTTTATTTACTTTGTAAAGTATCTATGTTATTATGTATATAAATGTCTTAATTAATACTTAGTAAATAGATTCCATAATACACTTCAAAGAAGTACATTTGTGAGAAAGCAACTCTATATTTGATCAAATATAAGATTTTGTTAATTATGGATACATTTTCTAAATCAGATTTATTTTTCAATTTTTATGATCTAAAACAGACAAAAGTATTTGTAAATAGAACAATATTGAATTTGTATGTCATTGACAAATTTGTTCCTTTTTAGTAAATTTAAGGGTCTTTGTTTTTTATTATCTTTATTTTTTATACCAAATGGAGGAAAAAAATGGAGGAAATAAAATTAAATTTTAATTTATTGTTTCCACAAGAAATTATTCTACATTGTTATTTTCTAGTTCAAATTCTATTTCTGCTTCTTGCAGTAAATTTAAACTTTCACAGTTACTGTCTGATTCTTCTTGGAATGCTTCCATTGGGATCTGACTAAATGATTTTTTTAAGCACCCCCACCAACTAAATAAATACCTGTTACTGCTTCTAGTTGATAAGTTTTTTTTTTTTTTTCTAGACCATTAAAGAAAATTTGTCTGTGTTTAAGATATACACACACACTTGAATATTCATTATGAATTCTTAAAAGTGATTTGTTAAATATTTATTTTTTAGTAAATTATAAATTAAACACTAAATTTACTTTTTTTATCCAACAAAGAATATAAGAATTTTCTTTACAAACAAAACTGTTTCCAGATAATTTATTTTCTCTCTGAAATTTATATATCAAATTCAATTTATATATCAAATACAGTTATTATTATAAAAAGAAAAGTTAATTGACAACAAGATTACTAAAAAATCTTGACAGAGATGAACATGAATTTTCAATTTGAAGTTAGTAAATGACCAATTCTGAATAAATTTGTTTTTGGCTAGCAAATATGTAGCTGCATGCCTCATGGACAACCTTTTGAAAAGATTTTTTTTTATAATAACTGTAATTTATGTCTCTGTTAAAAACAAAAAAAATATTTAAAAAAAATGAATGTCCAATTCCACTTGTTTAATTGAAGTTATGAAATTGTAGGTGGCATAGAATATCTGCCTGGGGACAGCTCTCTGTTATTTTGTTTTGTCCCCCAACTATCAGTACACCTATAATAATTAGTACATGTTTAAGACTCACAGTAGATGAAGGTTCAGTCATCTTCAAAGATGTCAATGCAAAGTCTTAAAGTAAGATCATAGCTTTCCTATAATTGTAGCAAAAGCTGCAAGAATTATCCAGCTGGTGTATTTTTTTTTAATGTAATTTTTGTCATTGAAAAAAATCACTTTCCAATTTTATTATAAGAACAAATATAAATTTGTTGTAATTTAGATGATCTTGTATAACTGAAATAGTTACAAACTAGTATTATGAGTAGAATTGAATAAACAGTTCCATCAAAATTCATTTACTCTCATCAGTACATATAGTGACACATCAAATACTAAGTGTGTATAATATCTCTCTCTCATATATATATATATATATATATATATATATATATAGATCTCTATTAGGATCTCAAATACCACAATGATCATGGATCATTTAGTTAAAACAAGTATAACAAATAATTTAAAAGATCTTTAAATATTTATCCATGCTCAAGAAAACTTGTACAAAATATTAACTTTAGAGATTTCCTTCAAAAAGTTTATTTTGGCCTTTCACACAGAAAAATGTGTTTTAGCCCACTTTTAATAAAAACAAAAAATGGTTACCTAATTACATTATCCAATCAAAACAATTTGTGAAACTTGTTTGCAAGATAATGAATAAATGTCACCAAGGTAACACTAGTAGTATTAAGGGGGTGCCAAAAGGTTTTCTTACCAAACTCATTTTCCCAAAACTGACCAAATGATCAAATATTAGATTTTTTTTTTAAATTTTGGTCACAAAAATTTTCAATACTCCCCCAATACATTAATCATTTTAACAGTATCTTCCTTCTTTCCATTTGCTTGAAATTCATGATATAAATCCGGAATTTTAGCATGAGGCAGTGAATCTCTACTCTGTGTCCATTCAGTGTCCCCTCCCCCTGTTGATTCTTTAACAAATAAACAGTCTGCAGATATCTTATTTTTAATTTTTGTTAACTGCATTTGCATCATTTTTTTTTCTTATTTTTTTTAATTTTCCTTATTCAATTTCTTTTTCATTAAAACAATTTCCTCTCATTAACAATGTCACATCTATTTTTTTTTCTTAGTTATTTTGAAATAATTTGTTTAAGGCGGGAAAGGATTTTACAAGTATTTGGTAAGTTTATATTTTAAAAGTAATTTTTTTTTCCTTTTAATCAGCATTATAACTCTTTCTCATTTCACCAATTTTTGTTTTCATCTTTTTATCCAATTCAAATCAAATTGTTGAACAATTCCTCTTGTTAGCATGAGAATTTACAAAAGTCCTCAAAGCCAGTGCCTCTGTCCACATATACCTGCCATCTCAGGTAAATGCAGTTTAATTTTTTTTTTTTCTCTTAGGTCTCAATTTTTTTTTTTTTTTAAATCTTGCAAAATTTTCTCTTTTTAAATTAATAAAAATGTTTACTTTTAGTTAAGAGTAAAAAAAACTAATTTTTTTTTTCTTGTATTTTTTAAAATGTTTTAAGTGTAATTTTTATTTTCTATTCAGTTTTTTGCATTTTTATCAGGAAATTATTCTTTTTGTTATTTACAAAATTTGAATAAAAAATCTTAATGTTATGCTTTTAGTTTAATTTGTTTTTCTTATCCAAAACTAGTATCTCTATTCCATAATAGATGCTCTGGTGTCAAGTGATGCTCATCAAAGCTAATCTGGTTGATCATTACTTTTGAGCAGTGACTTTGATCCTCATTCAGTACTTCATCCAAAATTCAACACTAAATAACCCAATAAGGGTTGGCGTGTTGTAAAATCAACCAATTAAAACTTGTTCTATAATTGCTACATTTGCATATATGTAGCAACTATTATGGGATTGAGGTAGTATTAATAAAACATAATTTTTTCTCTCTCTCTCTCTCTCTCTCTCTTCTCTTTTCTCTTTCTCTTCTCTCTTTCTCTCTCTCTTTCTCTTCTCTTTCTCTCTCTCTCTTCTCTTTCTCTCTCTCTTTCTCTCTCTCTCTTCTCTTTCTCTCTCTCTCTCTCTTTCTCTCTCTCTTTCTCTTTCTCTCTCTCTCTTCTCTTTCTCTCTCTCTCTTCCCTTTCTCTCTCTCTTCCCTTTCTCTCTCCTCTTTGTCTCTCTCTCTCTCAACAAGCTTTAGTTACTTGTGAACTGGATAAAAAAAAATTGCAATGAAGATTTAGATCAGTTGTAAATAAAGACAGGTTCATTGTGGAATCATACAGAATCTTATACAAGACATAGGTGATCAAGGCTCTCCACAGTTTTCTATTCTGTGTAGCTCTTAATGCTTTTTTTTTTTTTTTTTTTTTTTTACTATCCTTTCCACTCTGTTAGACCATCAAATTTACACAATCTGGTTAGGTTACTTCAGTGTTTCTCAACCTTTTTAAGCAACAGCACACCTAGGAGCAAAGAAAAATATCACTGCACACTTAGCAAAATTTTTAAAGTGGGATATACATTTAAATGTTATGAAATAAAGCCATAAATTAAAAAAAATAAGTACACACACAAATATGAACTTTATTTCAATGTTTCTATTCAACCATTTGTGCAGCTTATTTTGTGTGAAACCTGTTCTTGGTGTTTTTTTCTTGATTTCTTCAATGTTTGGTCAAATGTGACAATATTTCACGGTACACTTAAGAGGATCACACTGCACACTTGTGTGCAATCACTGCTCACCTCTTGCTTTCAATATGTTCTGTGACAGTCAAATTCTCTAAACACTGCATCTTCACTATGTGCTTCAGAAATTTTAGTTTACTCTTAAGTGTCCTTTTCATTTCCATTTTACTTAAAACTTCCCCATTTATCACATACTCAATTCAGGGTATTCTCATCATCCTTCTGTAGAACCACATTTGTGCTGCCTCCGCCAGTCCTCTATCCATCAGTTAGAAAATTGTCCAGCATTCACTGCCTGATGATCTATATTACACAAAAGTT